TGAATTTCGGCCAATGCAACACCAAATGAAACCCTAGATGCTAGCACTCCTATTTATACCCTAGCCTATCACCTTGTACATACTTTGGATCATATTGAATTTGAGTGTGCATTTTTGCCTCAACTTCTCTTCCATAGTCCCTAGGAACTCCACGGCCCTTCCTTTCTCCTCCTCCCTAACCACCATGAGTGAGTTGAGCTTGGCCTTCCTTGGTTGGCCTTCACCCTCCTTAGTGAAGTGAGCTAGCCAAAAGGAGCAACACCCCCACCAAACACCTTCCTCCCCTTGAGCGTGACCACCACCACCCTAAACACCCACTCTTCCCTAGTTTCTAGGTTGCCTTTGGCTAACCTCCTCCCATCTCCACCCTAAGAGAGCAAAACCCTACATAGGTTTCATCCTACACTTGGATGAAACAACCTTGAGCAAACCATCCTCTTTTGTGCTTCCGCCAACATCACCACCATTCTTCCACCATTTTGGAGTCTCCTTGTTGAACCAAGATCAAGGGCGTGCATGGAACTAAGCCACCTTCCATCACCTTTGGCTTCTTGGCACTCCTTAAGCTTCTACAAAGCCTCCAATGGATGAGGAAGCCTCGGTGTTCACCTTAGAAGGTGAAGGACACTCTTCAAGTGATGCCACTCCTTTGAGGAAGATGAATCACTTCAATCCTCACCACACTCTTTATGAAGAGGATAAGAGAATTGGATCAAGATCAAAGAGATTTAAGACTTTTAGGGAGAGAGAATTCAAAGCAAAAACTTGAAAATATCACATATATCATCCAAAAGTGTCATTTATAAGTGAAGGAAAATATATATAGTAAGGGAGTAGCTTCTAGAGCAAGCTAGAAGAGACAAGGTAGAGACATTAGATCTAGATTGGCCAATCCTAGCTTGCCAAGTGTCACCTTGTCTCTAGAGGAGACAAGGAGGAGACATTTACATCTAGAAGAGCTAATAAAGAGATGACATGTATCATCTTGTCTACTAGGCTAACTAGAAGCAAGTGTGTTGGAGAAGTTAAAGAGAATTCGGCCAAGGAGGAAGCTAGGAGGCCATGGCTTGTTTCCTTCACTTAATCCAATCCAAAAATGTTGGAATTGGTTTAGTTAGGTTCACCAAATGGTGGTGAGACCTAGCTATATCAAATCCTTGGAAAAAAATGGAGGAAAACAAGCCTAATATGTAAAATTTTGCCTAGGCCCATCAAAGGCCCAATTACTAGCTTCACCTACATACTTTACTATTTGTCACCCCACTTCTACTACTAAAAATGAGAAAATCTATGACCCTTAATACAAGGTCAAATGGAGCAAAAGTATCCAAGTAACATATCCTATAATTCTTACAAGTAGCTACTATGTACAAGAACTATACAATGTATATACAATGGAAACTAAGAGATTAATAAGAGGAATCATACTCAATGTTCATGAAGAGCATAAGTCTAAAAAGCACCTCCTCTATAGAAGTCTCCTTTAGCTTCCTGACCATGGACATAGTTAAAGGCCCAAGGGTCTTCAAACGTGAGCTCTTTTCTAATGGTCCTCCATCAATTCAAGATTACTAGGCACACAGATTCTATCCTTGAATCTCAAAACACCACCAAATCCTACTCGGAAAGGGCTATCTACACCCCTACCAATTTTCTCTACTTGGCTTATTAAGAAAAAATCTAACTTTTGGGCCTCTCTAACCTCATTTATCAATCTATTAGTCACCTTCAACATACCCAATCTAATGCTCCTAGGGGTAAGCTCACAGACCAAGCTTAAGTCTCTAAACTCCTCAATCAAATACAACTCTCTAATCATCAAAGATGATAGGTGAATAGTCTTCCTACTCAAGGCATCCACAACATTAGCTTTTCCTCGGTGGTAACTAAGGCTAGAATTAATATCTTTAAGGAATTTCAACCATCTCCTCTACTTCATATTAAGATCCTTCTAGTGAAATAAATACTTAAGGCTCTTATGGTCGCTAAACACTTCAAATCTAGAACTATAAATGTAATGTCTCCACATCTTAAGTACAAAAACTACAACTACTAATTCTAAGTCATGGGTAGGATAATTATGTTCATGAGTTTTAAGCTGTCTAAACACATAGGCTACAACCTTCCTATCTTGCATCAATACGCCACCTAATCCCATTTTAGAGGCATCATAGTATATTGTAAAAGTCTTACTATAGTCAATCTCCTCTTAGGCTCCTGAAAATTCTCCTCACATTTAGAGTCTCACACAAAAAGTTGGTTCTTCTTAGTTAGCTTAGTTAAAGGCAAGGCTAATCTAGAGAAGTCCTCTATGAACCTTCTATAATACCGTCCTAATCCTAAGAAACTCTTAATCTCAAATATCAACTTAGGTGCACTCTACTCAAGTACGACCTCTACCTTAGCAGGATCTATAACAAGTCTTCCCTTAGACACTAAATGGCCTAGAAAACTCACCTTATCTAACCAAAACTCATACTTAGAAAGCTTAACATACAATTTCTTATCTCTAAGGGTTTGCAATACTACTCTAAGGTGTTCCTCATGCTCACTACTAGTCTTAGAGTACACTAGGATATCATCTATAAAAATAACTATAAATCTGTCTAAGTATGAGTGAAATATCCTATTCATGTAATCCATGAAAACTTTGGGTGCATTAGTTACACCAAATGGCTTAACCAAATACTCATAATGCCCATAGTGGGTCCTAAAAGTAGTCTCCAGGACATTCTCAGACGTCACCCTAATCTGGTGATAACCAAATCTCAAGTTGATCTTACTTAAAACTCTAACTCCTACTAACTGATCCATCAAGTCATCCATCCTTGGCAAATGATACATATTCTTAATGGTAACTTTATTCCACTACCTATAATCTACACATAGTCTCATACTCCCATCTTTCTTCTTAACTAACAAAATAGGCACTCCCAAGGTGAAACACTCGGCCTAATAAACTACTTCCCTTGCAACTCTTTTATCTACTTCTTAAGTTCACTCAAATCCTTAAGGGACATCTTATAGGGTGCTATAGAAATAGGGGTAGTATCAGGCACTAAGTCTATACTAAACTTGGTCTCCCTCTCTAGTGGTAAACTAGCAACGTCACTAGGGAATACCTCAGGAAATTCTCTCACCACAGGAATAACACTCAACTCATTACTATACTTGAGTTTAAGACAGGAAATCAACATAAATACATCATCTTTATTTTTCAAATAGTTTTGGACATGGATAGAAGAGATCAACTCGTCAAACTTACATTTATCGAAAGAAAATTTTATGAAAACAATTCAAAAAGACATGGTTGAAAGATAAGCAGTCCATTCCAAGAAGCACATCTAGTTAACTAAGACATAAACACATCAGGTCAACTAATTAAGAACTGCCTATCAGAAATAACAACAGGGCATTGAACACATACATTAGAAGTGGTTATGGGACCATCAGTTAGAGTTTCCACAACTAAATCAAAAGGTAATCGAGACATACAATTTCAACATTTTAACACAGGCAAAAAATATGAAGGAATGTGTTGCACTAAAATCAAACAATACAAAAACAAGATTATCAGCTATGAGACAAGTATCTTGTATTAGACTATCAGGCTGAACAGTTTTAGTCCCACTGAGAGTAAAAACTTTTCCCACAACTCAAGGTCGTCCAAATTGGGTACTAGGGCCAGCCGATCCTCTTGAATCCTTCTTCTTGGGACACTTACTAACAATGTGGCCCCTTTCATGATAGTAGTAGCAGGTAGGCACCTTATCTAGACTCTCAGAAATCTAGTGGTCAGGCTTTCCACACCTTTAACACCTCTTCTAAAGAGTAGAGATAGAGCCTCTAATACCACAAACTGAAGACCCAGTAATAGGTTGGCTAGCACCTCCTCTAACATGACTCCTCTAGAACTGTGCAAGTACTGAATAGGGCTTTCTCTTGGTTGATGCTCCAGAAGTTTTACCCCTAGTAGGACCCACACTTCTATAGTGTGTAGCATGAGTTCGGTTGTCATGGTCATAGATCCTACTCTTATTCACTAAGGTTAGAAAGTGATAGATCTCCTAATAGTTAATAATGGTACTTACCTCAAGAAGAAGGCCACTCACAAACTTGATGTATTTTTCCCTCTCACCAGCATCACCCTGATAGTGAGCATAGTACCACACCAACTCCTCAAACTTGGTTGTATAATCAACAATAGTTAAGTCCCTTAGCTTCAACTTTATAAACTTGATCTCTTTCAGTCGACATGTCACATCTTCTAGAAAGCACTTATCCAAGAACACCCTCTTGAAGTTCTTCTAGTTCAACTGCGTGCCAACATCCACCATCGTCTTCTTAGCTCTTTCCCACCAGAAGTGAGCACAACAAGAAGATAACCAAACTTACCTTCTAGACTAAAAGGAACTCCATAACAGCAATGATATTCTCCATCTTGGTCATCCAACTCATAAAGCCATCAAGATCATAACCCCCATTAAACTTAGGAAGGTTATGAAGCTAGAAGTGCTCCAACCAACTAGGAGCAATAGCAATGCGCTCAGTAGCATGGTCAACATGACCTTGCCCCATAGATTGGGCTAAGGCCTGAATGGCATCAGCCAAAGCTCTATCATGTCTACCGACCATTTACTCTACGACATAACGAACAATATCAATAACTCAATAACCAACAACAACAATCATCAAGACAATTTATGCAAACATCAAGAATCAGAGTACACACAATAGAAACACAATGAACACCACAACACACACATTCCTGGTTTTTGATTAACTAGTCTCTAATACCATTAAGTGTGATACCCATCTACCCCCAAGAGTGATACCATATAAGGATATAAATAACTCATAAATCTTAATTCATTCTCATTATAGTCATAAATAAAATAAACTTAGTTCAATTGAAGAATAATTAACCAAGTAATAATAGTCAAATTGCAACTTGAATGTACAGAACTAAAACAAAAGAGATAAAATAATTCCTAAACTGCTGAGCTTAGGGGAGCTGAAGACTTTAAGAGTTTTGATGA